CCGTGTCAAGAGTACAGAGTACGGTGACGTCAAATGCGCACAAACCCAATTTGAAGACTAACCGAACTATCGTATTGTTCGGTGCTGCTGCCGAACGCCAAGCACGTGGTTCATTGTCGTACGGCCAGCAGGCATATTTAATTAGTTTATTTTCCATCCAAGTTTTGTCTAAAAAGATACCCCGCTGCTGGTTTCAGCTCACGTTCGGGGTCACGGCAGACAGCGAGAAATAGACGAGCGAGACAGATCGGACCCGCTTCGCGCAGCTTTCCGTTTCGTCACCGTACTCTTTACTGCTGACGCGGACTCGAGGGCGACTACTGATATGTCTGTGAATACATTGCGAACATTGTACTGCGCAGAGGTGCGATCCATGTTGGAATACTTATCGGTTGTTTGATCACCCCAATACTGTTCAAATTGCAGTTCTGGAAAGGGTTCAGAATAGATTTCTAAGGGTGGCTGCTTAGAGATTAGGCTTGGCGCATGGTGAGTATACTTATGACGGGACGATGAGGGCATTCTTGAATATTCATACCTTGCAGATCATCAGGAGATTTCAGGTGGATCTTTCTTTCCTTTACAAACGTTTGAGAGGGTTAATTGACTGCTCAGATCTTTTGGGTCTCCTTTCGTTGGGAGCAGGATAAAAAAGGGTGAGAGGTTCTGAGCTGTTTTATGTACCTCTTTGGTTGTCCTTCTGATCTTGCCTTTGGTCTTTAGAAGGAGACTGCTACCATTGCTTGCTGGATACTAGTGGATAGTTCTTGAACTAATTTGTATCAGTTTTTTGGAATTCAACAATTGAATAGTTATAGAGAATATAGAAAATTATCGAGAATATTAGAGAATTTATCAGGATGTTGTTGTTATGTTGTTAATTGTTTTTTTTAATTATTTTAAATTGGCCTTGCCGTAAATAAATAAAGGATGCGATAGTGAGTACCTAATACAGAAAACATAGAATGGAGGGTGGAAGCACCGAGGAAAGCACTGAGCAGAGGTAGAAAGCAGTAAAGCATAACTTTATTAAACAAGAATTCTCCATCAGATCTATTTATGGACTTTACTTGCTTGAATAAAAACAGCGATCCATAATTGAAAGACAAAATATGACACTAAAAATATACGATCAAGTTAATAAGCATCAAGAACAATTATTATTGTTGTTGGCCTAGCTTATGATTAGAATTCAACTACCCAAACATTAACCCAATTATCTCTTAATAGCTTTAAACAAGATAACAAAAAAGCAACCAATAAAAGCATCCTAAAATGGCTTTATACAAAACCCTTATACAGTTTAATAAATTATTGTTCTATTAAATCTAATGCGTGGCATGTTATGATGTTCGTATTTTATAGGATATAGAGTTTCATTGGACGATAATTTACCCGCACTGCACGGCAATCTGAAAATAAACAAAAGCGGTCCCCTGAACCGAACAAAAACATTTTGTTTCCCCAGCCGAATGTTCATTTGCTTCAATCAAGAGCTGTCATAACCGCGACCGGATGTTTCATTCAGTATTTCAGTACGATTTTGACGAAATCAATTTGGTTATTCGTATGATGGTGATGGTGATGGTGTGTATTGCGGATCGAGTTTTAAAATAAAAAGTAGTCGCGAAATGATATATTTTTTATAACGAATATAGAATCAGATAGAAATGGTATCGAAATCGAAAACAAGCATCTCGATTTAGGGTGTCAGCTAGCAAAGCCGGTTCGGATATCACGGTGTTCGAAACTGAAAATTACAGGGTGTAAAAGCGAGGTGTTGCGTGTTGCGCGAAACGCCGATTACAGGGCACATCAGCTACACCCAGCACCGATAACTGATCTCCGATTGATTACTTTGTCAGCTACAAAATAACGAGCTTATTTGCGTCATCATTTTAAGATAAGATGATTAACAAGAGACTATGTTATCCAACACACTTTGACTTTTTAGTTTTTTGATTTAATAAGCTTTTAATGGATGAAAATTAGAAAAGCTTTATATTTATGTGTATTCCAAATATCACCTTTCACCCAAATAAATCAATATTGCAAAATATGGTATCATTTTCCTGGCAGATGTTCAAGGATATACGATATACATAAGCTGGGTAATTGGTGTTTAGATTTGAGCTAATTAGTGGAATATGTCGCGAAATACCTAGTGGATGTTTCGCGCTTATAAGAAAAGCTAGATGAATCGTTGGTTAAGTCCTTGTTAGCTAACAGTAACCTATAAGTTCTCTAAACTTTGCTAAGATTGTGCTACGCTACACAAAGACAATAGGCTATTGATTAAAGCTCTGATGACATTGCTTCAGGCTTACTCGTAGCATTGCGTGGCCTTGCCTTAGACCTATCGAAAATACTTCCGCCAGCTATCTAACAAATCTATGGTACGCTTAAAACCTATTATCTATTCACAATTCGATGTCCAAAGGTAAAGGTAAAATTTATCACCTTTCAGTGCTATTTGATAGGGAAGGTGATAAATTTACCTTTACCTTTGGACTACGGATTGTGAATAGGATATATGTCAGCGTTACCAGGTACAGCTAAGAACAAGCAGAAACTTGTGGAAAGTTTACGAAAATTTGAAGCCGATATCGGCCGTCCGCCTGGTTAGTTGGACCTACCTGGATCCATATTCTCGAAACCAGGAAGTAGCGTCCTCATGAGGACGATTGCTCTGTCTTTGTCAGTGTTATGGAAATATGAATATGGGCGATGGAGACAGAACCTTGGGTCTCAGAAGAACGCTGATACCCTGTTTCGAGGATAAGGATCCTGCGGTAGCAACAGCAGAATTGTTAGAACTAGCGCCTGAAACTCTCAGTAATGGAATAGGAGATATAGCAATGTACAGAGAATGCTGTTCATAACCAAAATATCGATTAGCATAGTGAAGAACTAATCAAAGCCTTTTAGATTGAAACGGCCTATAGGATATAAGATACATAAACCAAGTAGAAGGAAGCTATTAAAAAACAATAATAGTCAAAGAGCCAGCGCCGAAAAAATTCTCTGAATTTACTAAAGCTGGTTTTTGGGCAGTTGATAACAGTATCACCGGCGTATACAAGGGGGGGGGTAATGGGGGTAATTAACCCCCCCCCCAAGACCGTTGCGATGGACGAAAAATATGTATCCTACACCTTACAAATATAGTATATTGTGTATTTAGGTGGAAAAGTGACACATTCTCGGCCGACGGTGTAAGTTGACGGGCGAGGCGTAGCCGAGGCCGGCAAGCTCCGAAGGCCGAGAATGTGCTTTTCCACCGAAATACACATACTATTTTTTCTGCGATCGGTTAAATACTTGTTAAATGTTTGTCTTTTGGTTCCAATTATTCAGCAGTACGAGAATCACCGTGCCACCAAGGGATGTCTCCAAGCGGTGCCTATTGGTTTCGGCTGGATTAGTTTATTTAGGCAGTATTGCCAAATTTATATTTTTTTCCGCCGTTTCCCAAATATCCCCGCGAATCCCAAATAACCCCATTCTACTACCTAAGTTTTTATGTAGGTAAATACTATAAACTAGCTTTAGTAAATTCAGAGAATTTTTTCGGCGATGGCTCTCCGTCTCTAAGAAATTATTGAAGATTGGTACGAGAAGCATTCAAGGAAACTTGAAAGGGGATACCTAATCCAACACTGCGGAAAAAGAGAACATTTTAAACGTGACTATAGAATCGGGTTGAGATCCCCTCTCCTGCTGGGTCCTTATTCTTGAAACAGGGGAGCAGCTTTCCCAGGAGAACGAGTGTTCCGTCCTTCTCAATGATATGCAAATGATAATATAAATAAGAAAGACGGAACACTCGTTCTCCTGGGAACGCTGCTTCCCTGTTTCAAGAATAAGGACCCTAGTGACTCTCAGCCGTGGATGGAGAAATTGCAACAATAATTTTTTTTCAAATCAAACAACGTTCTGTGATTTTCACCGTTCTGATTAATTGGATAACAACGCAAATGCCCTCTCCAGGCAACCATTCTTGGTTAAATATAAGCACTTATTGATCAGGGTGAACGAGTTCCAGTTAGAAGCTTCCGATTTGAAACGGATCCAGAAAACAGCTAACAAAACCATATGAGTGATCAGTTAGAAAATAGTAACACCAAACTATTTTTGATGGTCAAGGAGACCGCAGCAATAAATCGACAACAAATTGAAAAAAGAATGTGGCCATACGTCTAGTTCTCGTGGTGTCAGTCTATGAGAAAAAAAAACCACTCAGTCGTGAGGGCATTCCGATGAATAGAAAAGTAGCATCGGAAATTCCTAACCTAATTTTATTTGTCTATTCAAGAACCGACATTCGTTAAGTCCTAGAACGACTGGTACTTAATAATGACGAGTAGCGGGATTAATGGTCATTATTCCTCAAAAGTGTCAGTGTCAAATGTGTATTGCTTGTGGATTTGTATTGAGAATTGAGATGGATGAAATTTGTTCATTAAAAATCTCAAATATGAATAATTTGTCGTAAATAAAGTAGAGTATACCTACTACTCGCAATAATGGCCATTATTCCCTCGGAATGTTACTCCCTCGCCGCTAACGCGGCTCAGTTCGTAAATATTCCTCAGGAATAATAGCTATCATTATTGATTCGTGGTATAATCTTCTATTAAAAATTCTATATATGGGGTGATCACCAGTATCATGAAAAACTTAGATTAGATGACATTTTTTCCAAAGACATGGTTTCAAGGACTCTGAAAGACAAGGTACTGCTGGTAGTAGGAAGGCGGAAGATTGGGATGATAGTAGGTATAGACATAGAAGAGCAGATGATGCACCTTGACAGAATGAAGGCCTATTACGACAAAAACATTGTCAATTCGAGACGATCTGATTTGAAAGGGAGTCACGAAATTCCATTGTTGAGGAAAGGTCGACGCCCAATGTGCACGACCGGTGCGGGAATATTCAGGAATATAATAAAAAAGTTGTTGTTGCTAGTAAGGAAATAAAATATTTACCGTTCTACTAAATTTCTCCTACTGCCCCCATGCTTCACAAATACCGACCCTCGGACGATGAGATTTATTTTTCAAGTCTCAATAATTGAGATTCGAGAAACTGAATATTATTATTCAAATTAAGTATAACGTTACAATAGCTATTGGTTCGTGTTGCAGTTTAAAGTAAGCTATTTCCCTATTTTTACAAAATTACAGTGTCATATCAAAGACACCTGAGAATCATTTCCAAAAAATCTTCGTATTTTATATTGATATTTCCCGAATAATTGATGTCCCGATTTTTAAATTCATCGGTAAACCTTTGGATTTGAATGCAAGTTATCACGTATTGATCCAGAGAAATTTTTTTGGCTTTTGGATTATTTTTAGTAACTAAAAATCGTAAAAATTCTGGAGTGAAATTAATGTCCATTTGTTTTAAAGCATAGTCCAATTCAGCTTCGTCCAAATATCCAGATTTAGCTCTGTCGAATGTATTGAACGCTGTTACCCATTGTCTGATGTAATAGTATAGAGATTCAAATTCTTTGATGTCTAGTCCACCGTTCTTGTCCAAATCAAATAGCCTAAAATCAAAAAGTTTTAAGTCTCTAATTTAGATAGCCCAAAGAAATTTTTGTACCTAACAACAAATTTACAAGCACCATCTGAATAACGTTTCCCTTGGAAAACCTCAAAGGCTTGCTGTAATTCCTTAGACGTGATTTGACCTTCGTTCTTAGTTTTCATTGCCTTGAACCATCTCTCGACTGCCGGATGGACGGTACTATTGTATCTGTTAAAGGGGTTGACATTTGGATGATTTTCTAAAATTCCTGCGTACGTATTACGGTCTTCGGCTTCTAATAATATTTGAAAGTTAAATTAAACAAATTAAATGAACATTTTGATAAATACTTACCTCTAAGGGCGTCTGATACAAACTGCTTCCTTCGTTCTTCTACTGGAACGTATTTATAGCTACAGCATTTCTTTTCGGGGGTTTCTAGAATTATTGAAAAAAAAATTAGGATAATTTCATTCTTGAACCATAAAATTATAATTCCACCAATACCTTGTTCATTGTATTTATCTTCTTGCATACTTTCTTCTGTGTTATGATTGATTTGAATAGGTACTTTAGTAAAATGAAACTTGAAATTTTTGATCAATGGATGACAGAGATATAGATGACAAGCCGATGAGATGAATGTCAAAAAAATTATTTCGTTTAAGGAAAGTAACAGGTACCAGTTGGGTGTCTCCTATCTCTGGTGTCTCCTAGGTGTCTCAAATATAAATAATAGGTATAGGTAATCAAGAATACAGTGATTATTATTGATCAACTATCATTCTGTGACTATCAACTTCTGCGTGAAGTTTATTATTAGAATGTATGTAAGCCTGTAAGACCAGAGTCAAAAATATTCTTATTGACTATGTAGAAAGTAACAAGGGTTTGTTTTTATTTGCTTATACTTCAAAACATAGTCCTCGCTTATTGTTCCCAATGTTTTACCACAATACAGTCTGTACCACCGGCGCCAAGAGTCAAGGACCATGACTATGAAATTTTTAAAATAAATATTTTTGGCTCTTCATCTCGAGTAGGGTATTTTACTGGTGAGATTTCTCCCTATTCGCATCTTATACCGTTAGGTTCATAGTAGATCTATATTTGCTTTCTTACTTGAAGTGCATTAAAAATTAGTGAAACATATTGTACCTACTTCATTCATTATTACTTCCAAAATATCTTTATTCCAAACATTTTTTGGTTTGTACATACTTAGGTCTGCTCAAATTTTATTATTTTCTTTAGATTTTCCTTGACGTGATGTTTTTATGAATAGTTAAATCAAAGCTTTTTTCATCCATTCTTCAACATTTCTACAGTTATCGTATTCTCGGATTCTCCATTTCTTCGAGGTTGACCTCATTATTAAACTTTCGTTTATTCTGTTTATAGGTTGACATTTTAATTTTTTCTCTTGAGAAAAAACAAAAACTGTTTTGTATTGTGAAGGTTCGAATAGTATTCTTGTGTCATTTGTACAATTTCCTCCTCCTTCGTTTTGTTTATCATTTGATTGTAGGTATATTTCCGGCCTTTGAAAATTTAATTTAATTTTTTTTTTCGATTGTTTTCTCACTTTTTTTTCTTGCATTCCCTCTTTAGTTACTTTGATATTCGCCCTAAGGGTTTTATAAAATATACATACTTTCAACAATGACATCTTCAACGAAATTCCACAGAAACCAATATAAGAACTGAGCAAGATTGGAGGAGGTTGAAAATGTTAAGCAGATTTAGGAGTCCTGAGAAATAAACATATCAACACAATGATTTTTCAAAAACGACTAACTTTATTTATATGGTAACTATTTTCAGAACATAAGACATGACAAAAAATAAATATTAGGGTTGCCAATGCAATGCCTACATGTCAAATTATTGTTGCTTTGATGTATAGGAAGAACACCCCCACTACATCCAAAAAAGTTTCTTGCAAACCTATATTTCTCATAAACTTATTATGCTTATAGACACATTTTTTGTCATTAAATCCGCAATCATTTCATCAGTTGGAACATATAAGACAATTGAATGTTTTTATTAAAAACAGCTTCCCTGATAAAATGATGGCGTATACATAGACGGCGAATATCAATAGATATGCTTCGAACGCTTATGATACATTGGGTTCTATGCAAGTTTCTGGGCACTCAAGTTATCATTATATAATTTTACAGTTCCACAATTTGATTTGCCCATTAGTTCACATAAAAGGTTTTTGAGGTAAATAGTCTCTTTGGCTGGTTCTGAAATTGTCATATATTCGGCCTCTGTGCTTGATAAAGCCACAGTTCTGTGCTGACGGCTTTCCCAAGATAAAACATTTTCAAAAAGATTAAAAATAAATTCTGTACCTACATAATTTCCTATCTTGCTTATCTCCCGCCCAATCTGCATCTACTAACCCTTTAATAGTACAGTTATTATTATTAATATTATTGGATTTTTTAAAAACTAAACCAAAATTCTTTGTACCCTGCAAATATTTGAAGAACCTTTTTATACATTTCCAATGATACTCAGTATCATTGCCTTTTTAGATTTAGGTACATACTTCACTTTCATTTTTAGAACTCTGAAAACCTTCTGGCTGACTCGCATGTACAAAGTTTCATTTAAATTAACATTTAAAAAAGCTGTCATGATATCATAATGACTGACTGATATCTAAATCTAATTCAACTGACAAAGCAAATGAAAATGTACTGTGTCTTACCACTGGCCAAGAAGTTTCTTCATAGTCAACACCTTTTTTTTTTTTTTTTTCAGGGGTTGAAAAAATCTTCTGCAAGACACCCGACCTGATGGCCTGTTGGTCGGGTAGTGTCTGATTTGGCCTGAAGGAGAGCCGCCTACCGACTAAAAAACGAACCCCTCTTTGTTCTGCCCTGGTATCGCCTTTCGGCATTCATCAGGGGAAAATATACAGAAATCTTTTTAAATTTATTTCTTGTCCACTACATCTCTTCCTCGGCCGCGGCTTTGACGTTCTCTCTCTCCCTCTCCTCTAGTGCCTTCTGCCTCATTATAGTCTCGATCATGGTAGTTATGGCATCCCAGTCTTCCTGTCTTCGCATTAGCAGTTCTCCAATGTTCTCCTTCATAATTTTCGTAAGGCATATCTGTTCGGCTGCCTTTCTGGTATTTGCAAAATATTCACATATAAAGAACGTGTGTTCTGGAGTGTCTGCGTCTTCGCAGAACCAGCATTTATCGTCTTCGCTTTTCTTGATCCTTTCCAGTTACGAGCTAAACACATAATGGCCTGTCATCGCCTGTGTAATGCAGAAGTTCACGTCACCCCACTTTCTGTCCAACCACCTGTCTATGTCCGGTATAAACCACTTGGACCAGCCTTCGTATCTGTCCCATCTATTCATCCAAGTTGTTCTGGACGCTTGACGCGCCTCCTTTCTATAATCCTTACCCTTTCCATATATTTTCGTTGTCTCGTGTGCTAGTATGCCTATCGGTATCAGTCCCGCTATAACTTGTATTGCTTCGGATGGCACCGTACGGTATGCTGATGTGATGTGTAAACTTATTCGTCTGTTCACTCTCTCGAGCATCTTCAAGTATTTTTGGTGACGGATAGCTTTTTCCCATGTTGGCGAAGCGTACAGTACAACGGATTGTACTGTACTGGCTAGGAGCTTTCTCCTAGCCGGCTTAGGTCTTCCAGTTCTAGGCAGAATCCTGGACAGGCAGTTTATCATGCTATTCGCCTTTTCGGTAACTTTAAGTACATGCTGTGTCATTTTTAGATCTTTGTCCAGGTACACTCCTAGATATCTAACTAAGTTTGAGCTTTCCATCAGCTGATTTCCGATTATGACGTCCATCTTTTTGATTTTTCGGCGTCCGGCCAGTAACACCATTTCCGTCTTGGCAGCTGCCACCCTCAGTCCCATATCCTCTAGTCGTCTTATAACTCTTGCGACCGTTATTTGTGCTTTTTGCTCTAGGGTCTCTTTATTTTTTGCCCTTATCACTACCGCTAGATCGTCTGCGTAGGCAACTGTCTCGGTATCTTTTCCCGCACTCACTCTGACTATTCTGTCATAGTAAAGGTTCCAAAGAATGGGTTCTATAATAGATCCCTGTGGCACTCCGCTTGAGAGTTCGTAGGTGTCTCCCGCTTGGGTCACTATTTTTCTATTTTTTCGGTATGACTTGATGATCTCTATTAGATATCCGGTCACCTTTCCTCTCATAAGTGTATCGATAATTCCCTTCCATGGTACCGTGTTGAATGCATTTTCAATATCTATTAATACCATGGCGCAGAAGTCTCTGTTTTTTACTGCCTTTTTGTTTATTTCTTCCCGTATTTCTTGTATAGTTCTTACAGCGTCTATAGTGCCCGGGGCCTTTTTGGTTTTCAATTCCTTTATCGCGTTTTCCATATCCACAATATTCCATTTCTTAACCTCTTCCTGTGGGATGTTGTTTTTTGTCCAGATAAGCGGGTCTCCTATTGGGAAAAGCTTTACCACCTGTGTATTAATAGTTTCTCTGCTTAGTGGCATATTTGGTCTTAATTTTAGCTTCCTTGTCACAATTTGATAAGCCTTTCCCCAAACCTCCTCACCAAGTTCGTCACATATGTCCTTCCACTTCTGCTTTTTGCTCGGCCTCTTGCTATTTTCTATCTCCCGTCTCAACGTCTTCCTGGCTTCCAGGTACTCCGTTTTAAGAGAGTCTGCTGCTACGAGATCGTGTTTTTTTGTTTGCCCTGCCCAGTTTCCTTTCTCATGCTCATACATATCTTGCGTTTCTCGTTTATCGTTTCGTTCCACCAGTAGACCGGACTATTTTTTTTGCTGTTTGGCCTTCTTTTGAAAAACTTCTCGCACTTTTTATTTATCAGTTCAGTCATGTTCTCTGCGTTGATTTCGCCCAGGTCGTTCGCTTCTATCGAAAATTCCCTCGCTAGTTTGGTTAGTTTCTCTGGCCTGAATTTCCATCTATTTGTGTTATCTTGTCCATTTTTATTTATGTTGGCTTCGGTCCGGCGTTCATTTACAATCTCAAATCTAATAGTTTTGTGGTCGCTCATATTTTCTGTTTCCTCATCTACTCTCAATTTCTGTATGTTGTTCACGAAATTTTCTGTTACTGCAGTGCAATCGATCACAGAGTGGCCGTTTTCCCTCAAGAAAGTTGGCGTACTGTTTTCATACTTGCGCCTAGCCAGTCCTCAAGGAGGCTGCCTCTCTGGTTCGTGCGATCTGATCCTATGGCAGGAGTTTTTGCATTTAGATCTCCCGCAATAATGATTTTCTTGGAGTTTGTGTATTTTATTTGGTTTTCCATGTTCTGGAGAAGTATCTCGAAATCCTTCAAGTCTCCGTTTGGGGAAAAATAGCAAGATATTAGCGTGAGGTCTTCCAATTCCAGGCATACGAAGTCTTTTTGTGTAACTCTTCTGACAAGAGGTAGGTCTGCCGTCGCGAAAACCTGGATGGAACTATCCTTCAACTGTTTTGTACAGGGGGCCCGTTTAATAGGGGCCTATACCTTATCTCGAAATCTACAAGGGCTGTAAAAAAAAATTAAATACAAAAGATGTTTCTAATGAAATTATCTACAACTTTTTTGTATTTTTTTTGGTGTCACTCTACTATATACAGGGTGGACGAATGA